TATTCTTTTTGTTAATTTTTTTTCTCTACTTTCAACAGAGAATTGAGAAAATGAAAACTATCATATTTTTATAATTCTAAGAATTTCATATTAGAGTGGATTCATGTGGATTCAAGTGGATTCAAGTGGATTCAAGTGGATTCAAGTGGATTCATGGATTCTGCTGTTCCCCCCTTGATCCTTGCAGTAGACTCAAAGTCATCAATGGATTCTTCGAAAGTCTCGTTATTATTTTACGTGGAATTAGGCAGCTGCTCCGAATTCCTCAACTATAAAACATATAGTTTTATATAAGTGGATACCCTAGGGGTAATACACCAAAACAACTCAAATTGCTCAACTTTAAACATATAGTTAAATGAAAGTGGATACCCTAGGGGTAATATCCCAAAAACAATTTGATGGGTATCATGACTTGGAAATCACGATACCCAGTGTAACGGTATTATGACATCTATGGAAATAGTATCCGTTCAAATCTAAGAAATAATACTTCTTGCCGAAAAAAAAAACTTTTCGTAGCGGATAAGGATTTTACCAATTTTATACTAATAATATTCTATTGATAGTTTTTATGTCCGTACTAGCTACATACTCAAAATAAAACGAAATATTATTCATATTCAACACTTAATTTTAAGTGAATTGAGTGTTAACGCGAAAAACTTAATACTTAATATTAACAATTAAGTGGTTCGCTAACACTTAATATTAAGTAATTAAGTGGCTAATGCAAACATTTTTTTTATTAATATTAAGTGTTAAGTTAAAACTTAACACTTAATATTAAATTAACGTTAAGTGCCACCCCTAGCTATGGGTCTTTTTCTAAAAAGTATCCCTTTTGAGAAGCTACGGTTACAAATATCGATGTCACAAGTCCCAAAATATCAGAACGCAAATTCACGCCGCCCGGGCTGAAAGGTAGGTTTAAAGATCCTGCTATGTCTAACGATTCTTTTTGAGTTTCAGCTGAACCATTGAGATAGCTCATACTCGCTCTCATCCTCAAAAAATCGCGTTAATTGGTGTGTAAATCGATCCTTTTTCACGGGAAGCTGATGATTCCATTCATGTGCCATCCTAAGTGTATATCAGACAATGGACATTGAGCTCGTTCCTAGGATCGCCATACTATCTCGCAATCATGAAAAAGAGTACTAGTTCAATGAATAGCTACTTTTATTCTGGACTATATGATCGTTTAGAAATGCATCCAAACACAAAATGTAGAACAATTAGAAAAAACCATGTCGTTTCCATACATGCCTATAGATTTCAAAGAGTTCACTTGGCGATCGATCTAGTATGGCATCTAGGTCATTTGTCGGCTCAAATACTGGCCATCGATGAACATTTTGCCAGAAAGGTGACTGTAAAAATGGAATTAAGGGAAGAAGCGGGTTGAATCTAGGCGATCGACGTTGTTGATCCATTTTTATTTGCTCAAGCAGCTTTGTAAGCCATTCGTTATAAGGCAACGGTTCCAGTTCATTCGTAGAACAACCTGAACGACACAATAGCTTGAACTGTTCATCGAATGGTATCGTTTGTGTATTTATTAAATGGATGGGTAGTGAATAAGATGTTGCTAATGAATGCTGATGACGAATGATAGTGACAATTGATTTAGATACAAGGTCAACAGGAGTAACGTCAAATGGAAATGTCAAATGAGGATATGCACCGAGCTTATAGCAGCCTCGCACCATTAACACGAATAGATCTTCATTTGTACCAATGCCCGTTGTAGATGAACCAGTAATTCTACCAGGCCGAAATATTGCACCCTGTAGATCTTTTCGTAGTGATCGAAGTACTAGCATGTCAGCAATATATTTGGATTGACTATAACCACCTATGATTGATGGTAGATGAGGCTGATCAGTCTCTCGTATGCGAAGTGACGAATCTTTGTTGTCAGAAAATAAGAAAATGCTTAGACTCGACACATAGTACAGCGGTATTGAATAGCGGACACATTGCCGAATGAAATATTTAGTGAACAATACATTGACGTGCCTTAGTTGATTGTAAGTTGCATTGAAATTAGTATCTGCTGCACAATGAAGAACAGCGTCGATCTGACTCCATTGGTCATCATTGAAGCTAAAACCAAAACCAACCTGATTTTCATTGGTTAGATTTTCACACAAACAGATCTGAACGCGTTTTTTATTATTATTATTGATTGCTTCTTGTGTGATGTTATCAAATAAGCCATATTTGATTAATGCCGATTTTAGTCGGTTGTTTGCCTCGTCTAGTGAATTTGCACGTACCAGTACGAGAACAATCATCGATGTCGTAGTCAGTAATTCATGAAGTAAAAAGGATCCAAGAAACCCTGTTGCACCCGTCAATAACATCGTTGATATTTGATTAGACAGACTCGGACGAAAATCGCTGTTTATGCTCTTCAATCCAATCTCACTCTCATCATCATTCAGATCCTTCATCATAGATTCGTAGGAAATATGATCGTTGTTGTCGTGTTGAGACAGTAATGTGGCCATTTCGTTCAGTACCATGTGAGCATGAATACATATTTTGGCAGCAAATCGCTCTGCTATTAAATTATGAAGAAGAGCAATAGTTAATGAATTGCCACCTAGTTGAGCAATCGTGCGATTCTTTAGTTGTTGGTTTGTGATATGATCGCATTGATCACACAAAACTTCGCGCCAAAGAACTGCAAGCTTGTTTTCAACATTTGTCAGGTATGTATTATGAATATGTTCATCATGAATAGTTTTATCGATAGTAAGTAGCTGCCGATTGATTTTACCTGAAAGCGTTGATGGCAGATTGGTAACGAGCATTCGAATAATGTACGTTGGCAACATATACGATGGTAATATTTGAGAAAGATATTCATGAATTGATTCTACTGTTGTAGAGCCATCCACGTAAGCAACTATAGCCCCTTGATCATTCTTACAATGGCCACAATTATGTAGAATCACAACACAGTAGGTAACATGAGGACAACGAAGAATTGCCATTTCTATTTCGTTTAATTCAATACGACATCCATAAAATTTCACTTGTGAATCTTTGCGACCCAGATACGAGAAAATTGTATGGTTGGGCGCTACTGTCGCAACTAAATCACCGGTACGATACCACCGTTTTTCTTGCCATGCGAGAAAAACCTTGTTCTGTGCACTATTTAGATAGCCGTGACGGGAAACACCGACTCCCCCTAGGACCAATTCACCGGGCATACCAGCTGGTACATCATTAAGTTGAGAATCAACCACACGTGCGCATAGATTATCGATGAGAGTACCAATAGGTAGTGTTTCACCATGGATGGTTGATAACTGATTTTTTTCATCGAATTCGTAGATTGTTGCACAAACAGCCACTTCGCTTGGTCCGTAAGCATTAAAAAAACGGCGATGACAACCGATCCATTTCTGCCCAAGTTGTCTAGGACATGGTTCACCTGCGGAAACAACAATACGAATGTATGGTAATTGTCTGGGATCAATTGTGGACAGCAGGCTTGGTGGTAATGTTATTACTGTGATGCACAATTGATTAAGTGCGTCAATAAATCTCATACCGACTCGATCCATAGATGAATCGAATATAGCAAGACAAGCACCAGCTAACAGTGCCATAAAGATTTCAGATAAGGACGCATCAAAACAGATCGATGCAAATTGAGCAACAACATCCGATATTTGAATGTCGAAAAAGCTTATTTGCGAGAGAGCCATATTCAATAGGTTCACTTCTTCGATTAAGACACCTTTAGGTTGGCCGGTAGAGCCCGAAGTAAAAATGATATATCCAGCGTCGGGCTTAGCTCGTTGTTTCAACTCAGATAATGAATCGGTGCACTACAGCAATAGCAAGAATGCGAATGATTCCTCAATAGCATGAAGTGATATATTATATTCTACTTACTGAACTGGTTGTATTTTGAAATGCTTCAATTTCTAGCTCTTTGTTCATCGTCACATTTATTCGAACTCTTGGAGCATTAAACATTGGAACATGAATAGATGCTGGTAATATAGAATTATTCGTGAGTATGATATTTAACAGCAATTGTTTCTCAATTAACTCGAGTCTTGCAGCTGGATGCTTAGTATCGAGTGGTACAAAAATAGCACCCAACTTGAACGTAGTCAAAATACAAATGATGTACTCAAATGAATTATCCATCCATAATCCTATTAAACTCGTTTGTTTTAAAGCTAATTCATCTTTGAGAATAGACGTAAGATGATCGACACATTTTATGCATTCAGAGTAGGTGATTGTGAACGGATCCCTTGCTTTCTGTTGCAAACATATTCGACTTGGATAGCGACTGGCCACGAGTTGAAAATGATCGTAAATTGTGCTGGTATTCGAGAGCTCTGTAACTGCCAAAGAGCGAGGACTTTCAATGATCGTATTCTTGGATAGAAGTGGTATTGTCATTAGTTGATCGTAAGAAAGAAAACGAGCCATATGAGTATTACTTCCAAGGTATTCTACTAGATTTTGAAAGGCATTGCAAAAGTCACTTGCAGTTTTTCTGTCTAAATTTAAATTAGAAAAAGTCAGCTGATAGCAATACGTAGTGTTGCTCTTATCAGAGTACTTTTGGTTCGTGTTCAACGAGAGACGATGACTGGTGAATGACGCTGGTTGAATTGTGCTTGATACGGGTAAGTTAAATACAATAACATTGGCGTCCTTTACATGAATAGATGAGACAATACTTTCAAATGTTTTTTCTCCCGCTACAATTGTTAATTGGTTTTCGCCAGCAAGTAGCTTGACTGCATCGGATTTCAAAGTGTATCGATGAAGTAGTAATGCAACCATAGCCACAGATATGGTCGTCTGTGTCGTGTTGAACTCATCAGCCAAGCGAATGATGAGATCTGCTTGGATCTTGAAACAGTAAGTTTCCCTCATTTTATATTAAACAGTTGCAGCTTGCACAAAACCTATTTATACAAAATCCTCAGCATGTGTGTGCATGGCGTCATTTGATATTTTATCGCGTATCTGCTAACACAGTTGGTAATTTCTTCCCACTAAAAAGCGGAAGCCATTAGCTATAAAATAAAACGTCATTGTGAAAACAAACAAATTAATGACTCATTCGCTTCCCAGGCATGCAAGAGTTGAAAATAACGACGTTTTTACGAGTTAAAAGTGCACATTTTTGTGCGTTAAAACGCGTTCCTCACATGAAAAACCGTTTTAACACATCAAAATGTGCACTTTTAAGGATTAACGACAGAACAGGATAAAATTGTTTTTTGTGTAGCCCTAAGTAGTTGCCACAACGATAATGACTATATCCATCTCTTCTCCTTGTAAGAAAACCAAGTAAACACATGACTATCAGAGGCGAATGAATCATTTATGCATTTTTTCCCACAATGACGTTTTATTTCACAGCAAAGAACTTCCGTCTATTAGCGGGAAGAAACGCATTAACGATTCATTCGCCTCTAATAGTCATGTGTTTAGTTGGTTTTTTTCAAGGAGAAGAGATAAATATAGTCATTATCGTTGTGGCAACTACTTAGGGCTATACAAAAACTAATTTTATCCTGTTTTGTTGTTAATCTTTAAAAGCTAGCAAAGGCTTTATGGTTTAATCTCTTCAGTCCTTTTAGTGCTCTTTAGCCCATTGAATTGATTTAGTAGCTTTAGTCTCCTGTGGTCCTTAGAGTACCATTAATCATTTCAGGTCCATTTCAAGCGCTAAAAGGACTAAAGGGACTAAAGGGACTAAAGAGAATAAAGTAACGTAAAAGAACTGAAGGAGCTAAAGTATTAAAGACTTGTCTTGGTTTTAGAGCTAAAAAGTAAAAAGGGATCAAATTTATTTTTCGTCGGCCTATGTCACTACTAGTGAATAATGAATTCACCAACGAAAATGTTGTTTCACGTGATACTGCATACTCTTTCTTTGTTCTAATCTGGTAGTTTAATGACTAATTTTCTCAACCCAGTATGCGCATAAAATAAGATCATTCCTATAAAAGAAAAGAATGTTAGAGAGAGGAGTTTAATTGGTCGATCATTCATGGTTATTCCTATTCGGCATTGCCCGTTTTTCATTCGACTTCAAGCTTCGAATTTTAGCATTTTTAAGATCTGGAGTTATAAGTATTACACACGTGCTATTTAGTTATTTATTCTTAAATATGTGCACAGTTAACAAGGAAAATATTAGGAAAACTTCGGAAAATAGTCTATCACTTTGAAAAGACTGGCAAACGTGGACGTATTTTTAAACACACATGCTCTTTTGTATGAATTACAGCATGATACCAGTCTATGTGGAATTGCTGTTCAGAAAGAAACTGACTGCAGTCTAATGGCGATATGGAAACGAGCGGCTCGAATTCTATCTGCTCTAGAAGAAGCGCTACAATGATTTTGAGCTCGGTGATAGCAAATTCCATACCAGGACACATGCGTGAACCTGTACTAAATGGAAGATAGGAGCGTTTATTTGAGTATGTTCGTGTAATATTCAGTTCGTCAACTCGAATATAATAGAGTGGTGATCGATGGATTGACCACACCAATATATCAATGTCGGTGTTGTTTGGAATCAATAAAGTTCGTCCAGATGAATTTTGGCATGTTAGATCGCGTGTGGATCTTCGAGTGATGAATGGTGCAATAGCCCAAAAGCGAAGTATTTCATGAATAAAAGAATCCAAGAGAGAATTTTGAATAATTTCAAAAGTTGATAAGCCATATAGTTGTTCACGTAGTTGTATTTGAATGTCATTTCGATAAGCTAATGTTAATAAAGTAAGCGCCATAGCTGTAGCAGTTGTTTCTGACCCTGCAAATAATATCAGTTTTGTATCAGCAAAATCGAGCGTTCGATCGGATGTTGCCCATCTATGCTGAATAAGATTATCGATGAAATCAAGTTGATGTCTACCATTCATGTCGATTTGTTTTTCGTGATTCTTTGCTGTAAATGTTTCACGTGTAAGATGTAGCATAGACTGAGTTAATCGATTTCCATTATCATCATATGAACACGCTCCGAATGTGCCACCTATTAATGTTTCTCCCACAATGTCTAATGCAAGACGAGCACAGTCATCAGTTACATCAACTATCATACTGTCCGATGCTAATTTTGATTTCCAATAATTAACCAATGTTTTTGTGCAATCAAGAATTATGGGTATGTAATTTTCTTTGATCTGCTTTGAAGACAGACTATGAACAAGTAGTGAACGTGAATGAGGCTTCCGATCTGAATCATTAAGCATTGATCCTGAGAGAGGTGAATCTTCATGAATCGATGCCTTTTGAAAATGAGATGACGAATGACGAACAAGTATTTCATGAGCAATATCAGCATCAGAGATGAGCAATTTATTTGGATACATCCAAGCCCAGCCACGTTTACTTGTCAAAAACGATAATGTCTCAAGTTCAGACCAGTGAAATATGTGAATTAGAATATAATAAAAAGCCAAACTCAAATATTGTTCAAACAAAATCCAAAGTGACATTGCTTGTATACGATATGAAATATGGACTTTTGTACAGCTTATAATCAACGTCTAGTAAAAATTGAGAAGATGTGCAATCACTTTACCAACAGAAAACGGAAGAGAATGTATTATAATAGTAGCATATTCATCGATAAATATTGTTGACTCACTCGGAGGAAGGGGAAAGTATGTGACGCTAAGTAAACATATGACATCGTGCGATTGGCGTTATTATGAAAAACGATGAAGCGAAAGGATAGTTAAAATGCGATGAGAATAAGAAGCCTCCACTGGTGCATATCATAAGTAATGGACAAATATTGCTTTTTCTATTCTGCGAAAAACAAAAACACGTAATGAAAGGATGTAAAAAAATGACGCTATTCAATGTCTGGTGAATGATCACTTGGTAATAACCCGAAAGGTATGTGATTGTGAGAAAGAAAATATGACAAGGAACTAATATTACTATTAAAATAAAATTAACGACATCCTCCTTTCATTTACAGTCTTTTATAATTTGTCAAACATTGAAATATGACGGACAACGATTTTTTGGGCATTTACAAAAAACCAAATAATAAGCATCTTATTGTTCTCTACTATGAAGCCCGGCAAAGCTTAAATATAGATGATATTGATAGTGCAAAAAGAATTTTACAACAAGCAATCGAGTATGGTCTAAACCATTCGTTGGTATCCGATGTACGGATATTGAAATGTATTGAGCGTGAAATTGAATTTTACACCGAAAATAAATTATCAAACAAAAGTGCTTCAGCCGAAATAAATAATTTGAATATTGCTGACATATTCGAACGTCAAGTACAATTATGGTGTGAGAAATGGTCACAGTTACCCCAAAGTGTATTTTACTTACGGATGAATCTTAGTGATGGTCAACAATATCCAATGCTCTTAGTCGGCCGAAAACATTTATCTAAATTATTTTTGACTATGAAAATACCCGAACTTCATTGTAGTCAAGTTCAAGCGTCAATGTTACTCGGTATTCTTCATCACACACATGCATCCGAGTCTACAGTACGCATTTATTATTATCCATTAGAGTTCGATGAAAAACGTTATTTGTTCAATTTAATTGCTAAAAATCATCTAGATCATAAAACAGAGTTGATCTATCCATTTTGTTTACTTCATCCGTCAACTCATCGTGAACTTCGTTCTGAATCGGATGGTTGGTTACTTACCGACAGTATGGTAAATGAATTAGGACAAGGTGAAACTCATATACGACAATATACTATTCACATGCTGAAAAATAAATATAAACAAGAGGATAGTTGTACGCTCTATGATTCTGCCTGTTCGACTGGGCAATTTCTTGCCGAACTGAAGTATCATTTTCCGTTAATACATACAATAGGGCAAGATTTAAGCGAATCAATGATACAATTTGTACTAGAGTGTGGCACTGTCGATGAAGCCTTACATGCAGATGCCAAGTTGTGGCCATTAGGTGATCGGCAGGTTGATGTTGCTTTTATTCGTTTTCTCAACTCAGAAATCATGGCGACAGAAGATGCTCTTACTCTTTTTCAAAAGATTGCTACTCGAGTGAAATCAGATGGACTTATTATCATCTTTGGTCATACGCCGGTGCTTTTATCTAGCTGCGACTTTATCAGGCAAGGTTGTCTTGAACTCAAACAATGTATTGGTGTGATGGATGGTACTGACATTACTCTTTTTCAGTATTACGTTCTCAAAGTTAAAAAATCTACGCACAGCCACTAAGTCAAGAAAAGACATCTCCAACGAACTGTTTCATCATTGTCTCTTGTTATAGGTGATACCAAGATCAATTCACCCACACCAGAATTTCGCATAGTATCGAAAATAGAAAGGCAATGGCAAAAATTGTCTGTCATGACTGCAAATAGTTGTACAAAGATCTGAGACAAACAATCAATGAAGAGAATGTGGGCTTTCCTATTTTATTCGATTACTTCTTGCTCATAGAAGAAATTTTCGGAATCAGTCGCTCTCATTTAACGAGGGAACCGCTCGAAGTGATTCAAAGCTTTTAAGCTGATATTTTGCCGATAAGAAGAGTCAAATGATAATAGACAAAGCCCAAAAGGCCAAGGGCCATGGGCCTTTCTTCTCGAGTTATGATCATTTTACAGGGTTAGCCATCTTTGATACGATATTCACCGAAAACTCAAATTAAGAAGTTTCGACCTGAATTTTTGCGCACATGCAGATCTGGTGATCCTTATATTAGTCTGGAACTTTCAGCCGAAGCGAAAGCGCCGTTGTCGAGATATTTCAATCTCAAGACAAAAGTACTATGTTGTATACATTAGGGGTGTAACAGTTCTCAGACATAAGTTCAGATCCATTGAGCGAAAGAACTGTTCGGGCAGATCAGATCAGCTCTAAGAACTGTTAGGATCTACACTGGGATGATGCCTATATCGATATAGGAGTCTTTTATGGGATCTGATCTGATCTGCTTGAACAGTTCAGATCAGATCATTAGAACTGTTCGAACAGATCTTTAGATCTGATCTGAGGAACTGTCTGAACAGTTATTTTGATAGGAACTAAAACGGAACTGTCATGCTCCTAGTATACAGAGCAAAAGAGTCGACTTTTCTTGAAAACTTCTTATTTCGAGATCAGTGCATTCGTTTTGGCTGAAAATTTCAGGCTAATATACTGATCACAAGACCTGCATATGCGCAAAATTTCAGATTGAAATTTCGTAATTTGATTTTTCGGCGAATATCGTAGCAAAGATGGTAAACCCAGTAAGATGACCATAACACGAGAACGAAGGCCCATGGATCCTTGACCTTTTGGGTTTTGTCTAGTATCATTTGACTCTACTTATCGGCAAAATATCAGCTTAAAAGCTTTGAATCACTTCGGCGGCACCCTCGTAAGTCAGTTTCATTCAATTAACTACAGCCCGCTACACACTTAAAAAGGTTCTTCCCTTGTGCCCACCGGGAGTTCCATTTCTGGCTTCGTACTCTTAGTTGAACCATTTTAAGTTCAGTATGGTATTTGTTTTTTTAGAGGGTAGTATATATCAGTCATCCCTTGTAGGGATGTGTAGTGTCGGTGTAAATACTGAAAAACTGATCACCGACTACATCGACAGTGTTGTCGGTGCTCCACTGCATACACTGTCGGTGTAAGTCCATGGTCAGTAAACCGACATTACGTATCCCTAATCCCACGTGAGCCACGGCTGAAGGCATAGAAAATCTACTCAACCAAGATCGTTAATTTTCGCTCAGTTTAATACATTGTTGTCTAGGACAGAGATTCATGTATTTTGAATGCAGCATATTTCACTAATATTGAAGCCTCGTCGTTGTATGAGTGTTTTATGAAAAGCCCTAAAACTGGGTATTTCTATCGGATTGCGTCAGAACGGCATCATATATCAAGGATAGCTTGTCTGATTGCACTGATGGTTTTTCTGGACATATATATCTGAGTTCTACTTAGGGTGCAAGTTTTAATTCGAAGTATTCAGCGGCAAAATTTTTGTGGTTTATCTAATACAGGGGAAAATCCATAGTGTGGTCGCGTTTAGTGCTTCATAACTTATGGTTGGAGAAGGGCCGCAATATGAAGTTCTTGTGAACTAGAGTATATAAAGTTGCACATAAAGTGAGGATTTAAACTCCATAAAACTGTCATTTCAGCCAATAGAACCGTTTCACAGACGGGTTGCCGCAGAAAATTGTGGTTTTCAGACGATGCTTTTCCTTTAGTAATAGCGTAATCTGAGGGCTGGGTTACTAAAATTCAAAGAGCCGTCTGAATTGTATAGCTGAATTGTAAAATTAGACTCTGCCGTGTAGAAAATATCCCAAGACGTGGTCGCCTTTCGAAGCACAAGCATGGTTTTTAACGGGATAGGGCAGCCTACATCGTAAATTGCAATGCTTAATTGAATGTCACCTTAATCATTTTATGTGGTTAATTTTGCATAAGGCACGCGTAATTCAAAAATCGAGTAAATGTTTTTTCTCTTCATTTATCTATGGTTAGATAGACCTTGTTGAACTCTACGAAACTGTATATTTTAAAACATTTTCAACTCCCTTTTTTGGCTTGAAATATTTAAAACAAATGATTTTTTAAATAAGAAGCAAAATACCCGTTTTTTCAAAAGAATTTGCTTTTTGAGCCATTTTTTATTTTTTCGCAAGTTCGAAAAGATTGTTTTCGAACACAGCATGTAAAACCGGATGCAAACGATATGAACTTGGAAATGACGTATGACTGTTAAGGTATGCTAGGATTCTAGACTTTTGGGCTTCTACGACCGTTTGGTGCAATCAACTCATGTAAGTTGCAAAAGCATCAAGTCTCGCTAGCTTGGATATTCAGCCAAGATTTTGAGATTTCATTTTATTCAACATATGACTGACAAAAAAATCAAGTATTATTTTATTTTTATTCTGCACCGTTGCTGGGAAACTCAATTTTTTCGAAATAACAGGAAAATTGCAGAAAATCTTAGTTTATTTAGAGACGTTGACCATTAAAAGTACATTTTCAAGTAAAATGAATATGATATTCGCAATGGTAAATTCCAAGTTCGGCGAATATAACTTTCGTTGACGCCTATTTTCGCGGACTTCAACTTCGTCGAATAAAAATCTTGACCGAAAAAGATCGAATCAAATTTGATCGATTCTAGATATAGAATTTTATCCTAACTAACTACTTTAATAGTGACTTGATTAATTAGCCTCATCTGACTTGGTAACCATCTGAGTTCGTAACCATCTGAGTTCGTAATCATCTGAGTTCGTAACCATCTGAGTTGGTAACCCACGCACACACCCACACTGTCATGGCCGATGGCCATGATATAAATTTAGTTATGATATATCTTCTATATTCTGCTTTGTGTTTCGTTATGGTATCATTCATTGCATTCTTTGATGTTTTCTTTTTCTCTCTCTTGTCTCTCTCCATGTACTAAATTTACCCCTATGCAATAAAAGAAACGTCATCGGTATGTGATGAGATATGGGAGGGGAAGAAAGTATCCAGTTATAAACATTTACTTTTCGTTTTGGTTTTATCAAACTCAAATTGATTGGATGAGAATTTCACAAAAGAACAAATAAACTATTATAACGCATACCCACATTCTTGTCCAATAGGATCGCAATACACATTCTGCTGCAGACCATTCCAATTCATTACTTTACCCCTCAGAATACATTTCAACACACGCCTGGTTTCTTTCGAAATGATATTAATATAAAGTGCTGGATTTAATTCTAACACATGTTCTTTTTTGCTATAACTGAGCCATATTTATGGCTAGAGACTGATTTCTTCACCATTAGATGCATCACGTTAAAAACTATTTACCTGAAAAAAGCTTCAAAATCACGTACGTTTTGAATAAACTACGAGGAAAACAATAATTTCGTAGAGAACATAATTATAACACGCTTTTTAGTATTTCGCATTTTTTGACCAGGTGGTATTGATTCAAAAATCGAAACAAATATCAATCGACGTAGAATTGTACGTTTTACATTTTGAAAAACATTATCATCTACCAACAAACGATTTGTTATAAAATCTGCATTAAAACTTCTTTTTTCTGGATCTCAGCTAAGAATCTGATTGCAAAATGATTTATGCAATCACTTTCTATATCAACTAATACAAAACAATGAGCGTGAAAAACTAAACCGAACCGCATATTTTTATGCCCAAACAATTCTTTTGCAGCAAGGAATTTTAAGAATTTTTTTCTGATGAGTCATCGGGTTTAGATTTCAACATTGTTTTCGGTAAAAACCGCCAGAAATTTTTCAAAAATACATCAGAATCGCAGAGAATTAAATGCTCTACAAGATGAGACCTTCCGTAATTCTTTACCACATCCACAAAATTCGGCGTGTTCGGAATACTCTCAGTGCAGTGTATTAATTTAAATTACAATAGGTCACATGAGAAGAAAAGCGACATCAATCGATCAAACGTATTTTCCTTTTAACTTTCGAACGGTCGAGCTTAGAAAGCTGACAGAAGTCTCACATTGTAGAGAATTTAATTCCCTACCGTCCTCGTGTATGTTTGAAATTTATAAGGCGGTACTTAGTAAAAACGAAAATGTTACAATCTATATAAAACCGATCACTTATCCCAAAGGAAAAGCTTTAGAATTCCTTGCAGCCACCAAACTCTTTGCACATAAAAATAAACGATTTAGTTCAGTTTTTCACGGTCTTTGTCATGCACTAGTAGGCATTGAGAGCGATTACATAAATCATTTTGCAATCACATTCTTTGCCGACAAGAACAAAAACAAAACTTAAATGGGAATCATAAAACAACAGTCTATGAATGGACAAAAACGGTTTTCTAAATGTGAACATACATTTCTTCATCGGCTGATGTTTCTTTCACTGTTTTAAACTGAAATTGTTCAGAAAATAAATATGAAATACTAAACAGTGTTTTCATATTATGTGCGCTGGGAAAAAACCGTTTAGCTCGTAAACAATCCAAAAGACATGATATTTAAATGTTTTCAGGCTACATAGTCCATAATACGACCTATTTAATGGTGAAGGAATCAGGCATGAAGCAATGAATGCCGTTGAGTTACAGAAAAAACAAAAATGTCTTAAAATTGATTCCCGTATATAACATACTTCAAAAAGTCGTTTTTTTCTACTATATGTTTTGACATAAAGATAATTTCGTTTTACGTTTAAGTCCTATTCCCGTTTCAAATC